TGTGTGTGTGTGTGCGTATATATATATATATATATATATATATATATATATATATATGTTTGTATTACATTTTTGGAATGATTTCATTTTGCTAACATTTTAGAAAATTTTGCAAAACAAAAAAAAAAAACAAATGAATCTAGCACTCACCTAAACGACCTCTGGCTCCATTTGTTTTGGTCCAGTTCGGGCAGCAGTCCTGTTTTGCCGGCCCACAGTACATTATCACAGGCAAAATACATGGCTCTGTTCAAATGAGCCACAGTGATGCAGAGCCGCAGCACACAGTCTGACAGATGCACGGTGCGTTTGGCTGCTTCCAGAGCTTCAGCCGAGTTCCCCAACCGCATCACTGACACAAAACACACACAAAACACTGAGCGAGTACAGCAACACACACAGATTCTGGGAGTGACACGAGATTAGGCATCAGGAGTCACTTAATGCAACCACTTTATATAATAAACCCCTCACTCAGAGACACAAGCAATGACTTGTTATCATGATGTATTCTTTTTTTAACATTAGGCAATTTAGGCACAATTTGCACTGGGATATTGGAAAAATGTTGCAAAATTACCAGCAGGAACACAGCATACAGTCATGAAAAGTTAAGACATTTCTGTATTTTAATACCACTTAATTTAAACACCACGTTGTTATACAAATGAGACAATAATGATTAAAGAGTTTAGAAAACAGCTAAAAAAAAATTTGCACCAAAAAGAAAAAACTTTGACCCCTAATGCACAGTGTTGCATTTTTGTTGTTTTTTAAAAATTCTTAATTTTTTTTTTTATTAATGCTTTCTAACGTTCAAAATATCAGGGCATGCAATCCATCACTAGCCATATAGAAATAAAATTTAAATGAAATTATGTCAACTACGTACTTTGCAAATATGCAAATTTGTTCAAAAAGTGTAAAAAAAATTGTCTGCCACCATTTTGTGTGTCTTTAGAAATTTAGTTGCAGATAATATGCAAATCTTCCCATTAAAACTGTTGTAATAAACTACAAAATGTCAGCTATTGTCATGCATTATATATACCTATATTTAGAGAAAATTAAGTATTGTTTAACTGCTGTATGCATATGTTGCGATTCTGTTAAGACTGTGTCTCTGAGGGTTAATTAGGCCTTTGTATTTCGCTACAAAACTTGTGTTGGGCTTTCTCTAATGAAAATGTGTGACTGAGCTGAATTTTACGGTGACCGAGAAGTGCAAAACAAATCACAATTCTGAAAACAAAATAACAAATTACAAACGCAAATGCAAGTCTAAAAAACAAAATAACAATTCAGAAAACACAACAACAATTCAGAAAACATTATAACAAGTCAGAAAACACAATGACAAATCAGACAAACCGGAAGAGGTAGGTATAGTTTGAGACAGCGCCATTGGTTTGGGATTACTCACCGCTGACTGGACGAGACATCTGTCAATCAACCTATACAGGGAAGAACCAGCCGAAGAACAGCAGAGTCGTGGTAGAAAGTTCGGAGATGGTATTAAAGTAGCTCAGTTTAAATGTATTGTATGAATTGCCCTTACTATGGAATTAAAAATACGGAGTGTCTATTTACATTTAGTTAAAAGTGACTGTAAAACATCAGCTCCAGTGGCGCAGATGGATAAGCGCGTTGTTGGCTTTTTGACGCGATCGACCCGGGTTCGATTCCGCCTTTTGAAATCTTTTGTAACATTATAAATGTCTTTATCATCACTTTTGATCAATTTAAAGCATCCTTGCTAAATAAAAGTATTCATTTCTATAAATTACAAAATATGTACTGACTCCAAGCTTTTTAATAGTATATAGTGTATAGATAAATGCTGATCTTTGGATCTTTCTACTTATCAAAGAATAATGAAAAAATGTACTCAACTGTTTTAAATAATAATAATAATAATAATAAATGTTTCTCTAGCATCAAATCAGCATATTAGAATGATTTCTGGATCATGTGACACTGAAGACTGGAGTAATGATGCTGAAAATTCAGCTTTGCATCACAGAAATAAATTACATTTTACAATATATCCAAATAGAAAGCAGTTATCTTAAATAGTAAAAATATTTCACAACATTACTGCTTTTGCTGTATTTTGGACCAAATAAATGCAGGCTTGGTGAGCAGAAGAGACTTCTTTAAAAAAACATTATTGTTCAAAAACTTTGACTGGTAGTGTACATCCCTACAAAGGTCTGAAAATCGTTGCAATAAATCACAAAAACACACCACAGCATTAGTGCTCAAATGCCTGGTTACTTTAAATTATGCTTACTTGAAAATATGCTTTTATAACGAAAGCACCCCTTATGATATGATTATATGCATATTTTGAAAGTAGTAGGTGTTCATTGTGACATGGTACTGAATGGGTTTCATATCCATATATGATATTTACATGATACTCAGAGGCATAGTAAATACTTGCGAGTAATACTGTGCTTTGTTGCTAGTATTTCTACTTGTGAAGTAACAGTTGGAAACAACAACAGTATCAATGAGCACAACTTCCAATGCAGCGCTCCCAAGTCTGTAAACAGGCTGCAAACCTCATGCTGTGAAGGAAGCCAACTAGTGTAGATGTGGTGGTAGTGTAGTGTTGTAAACACGAGGTGAGTGGGTGTTTGTGCACCTGAACACGCGCTCTTTGGCTCGACTCTGCGCGCTGAATCTCACCCACGACTCCATCATAAACAACACACACACGCGCTGGGCCTAGCGTCCTTCACGCAGATTCACGTTAAACAGCTCACCGTGAAGATCCTTGATGTTTTCAGAGAATACGTTACGCACTTTTGACTGTAGTCTGTGGCTGGAATTATGTGGCATGCTTGCTGTGCTGCACTTGGTGTTTTTGTAGCTTTGACACTTTAATCCATGGACGGTAGACGAAGAGGGACACGCTGTTCGCGTTTGGATAAATTGAAAGCGCATCGTGCAGTTTTCCTTGAATAACAGTGAATCACTTTTTTTTTTTCATATGTGTTTAGCACGTTACGGAGATGGCACACAAATAACCTTAAAGTGTCCATTTATTTTATTAGAGGCTAGGTCAATTTAATATGTAACGACAACAAAAGTTCAATGAACTTACTGTTAGTTTCTGGCGACTAACAATAAAAACAACCACCAGGGGTCGCCAAATAAATTTAAAGGTATACATTTAATATTACTGATATACTGTATATGACCCTGGATTACAAAACCAGTCATAAGGGTCAAATTTTTCGAAATTGAGATTTATGCATTATATGAAAGCTGAATAAATAAGATTTCCATTGATGTATGGTTTGTTAGAATCGGACAATATTTGGCTGAGATGCAACTATTTGAAAATCTGGAATCTGAGGGCGCAAAAAAAAAAAAATCAAAATATTGAGAAAAAAGCCTTTAAAGTTGTCCAAATGAAGTCCTTAGCAATGCATATTACTAGTCAAAAATGAAGTTTTGATATATTTATGGTAGGAAATTTACTAAATATCTTAATGAAACATTTAAGATCCTAATGATTTTTGGCAACAACAAAAAAAAAAGAAAAATGGATAATTTTGACCTATACAATGTATTTTTGGCGATTGCTACAAATATACCAGTGCTACTTCAGACTGGTTTTGTGGTCCAGGGTCACAAATATTGTATTTAATATTACTGATAACACCAATAAGAACAAAACGATACAAGGCTAAAAAATAATAATAACAATAAAACATAATCAGACTATGCTGTAGATTGGTAAAGTGAATTTTATTTGAGAATCTCTGATAACAATAAATAAAGGAAAATATAGTAAGCCCATTCTGCTTCAAAATAAAATCTAATAATCACAAGAAAAACAATCTTGACCCTGTGTGAAAAGCAAACAATTTTGTTTTCAATCATAATCAAGTTGGTCAGCCTGTTAATGTGCTTAAAGGTGGACCTGAATATTGCTCAGCAAAATTTAATAAAAAGTCATTCATACAGTGTATTTTGCAACTAGTTCATACAGCTCAGTTACCATCAAACGCATCCTAGTTGATTGAATCTCACATGTCCAGGTCATATTTCAGGTCAAAATATAATAAATTATATTTAGTATATAATAAACTCTATTTTGATTTAAGAAGAGTGCATTTTTAGGAGCATTTTTGCATTATTTCCATGACAATAAAGCGACCCCACTGTTACCTTTGCATCACGGTTAAAATTCTCCTTACTGTATAATGAAAAATATATTACGTTGTAAAATACTACTGTATTACAGTAATGAGAGTCTAATGAAAAATTGTGCATAATTGTGAATTACAAACTCAAAAGTAAAACATCCCAGTAATTGGGGGGAAATGTGCTTCCAGTTATAAAAATATTTTGCAGTGCATCCCATCTTATTATTTATTTTAAATAATAATAATAATGATAATAACACACTTTTGGGGTGAAATGTGACCCGGACATGTTATCCACCCAGTTTTTAAAAATAAGCTAAAGAACAGAGTTGCTGTTGAATCAACTACAGCAAGGGTTTTTAAATGTGTCTAACAAAAGGAATGGTTCACAGTACTTATTATACCGACAGATTAATATTTCTACCATAAACCCTTGCCTATTTACCCATCCTGCAACCCCTCGCTTTCTTTTCCTTCTTTCTCCTCTGCACCACATGCTCTCTGGAACTCATTCGACCTTCATTTTATTCCAACTAGCAAATCCTTCTGCATTCCCATCCGTTAAAATATGAGGTACAACTTTCCCCCGGACATTCACCTTCACAAAGTCTAATTCAGTCCAAAAATAATAACTACTGTCAAGTTTAACATTTCTTTCTGAATCTCTAACTTCAGTAAATCAGCCCACGTCCCAAATGATGACAGTGAGTGTGTCCTGCACAGTGAGGGTTTAGTCTAACTGAAATGATTGGGAGACAATCAGATAGAAACTATAAATACAGTTCTCAAACCATCTGAGGGAGATGGGACTAATACAGCTGCAGGTGAGAGATCCCATCATGCCCTTCTTCTTCTCTGTGTGCCTCTCTCAGTGCTCGGACTGCTGTTTCTTATGGAAGGGGGCTTTAAGGCGGCTCCAGAAGGAATGGCTGCGCCGGGTTTTCCTCTCGCCGCCCCGCACCATCTCGGCCTCGTGCTGGCGGATCTGACGCACCAGTGCAGCAAACACCTCGTCGATGTAATAGCGGAACGCCGCGGAGGTCTCAAAAAATGGGCACTGGAACTCCCTCGCCAGCTGTTTGCCCTCCTCCACAGACACCTGAACGTGTGAAGACAAAACAAACAGCCCTTCAGTCTAAACGGCTTCATTTGAGCCTAGTATGTCTCCAACGTTAGTTAATGATTAGATATGTAAAAATAGTGGGTCATTCGTTTACATAGATTTATACACACAGTATATCCATGTATATGACGTTTTTGAAAGAAGTCTCTTAAGCTCACCAAAGCACCTGCATTTATTTAATCAAAAATACAGTTAAACTGTAGTATTATGAAATATTATTGAACATTTTAGTGTTTTATTTTAAATAACCTTTTTATTGTTTTATATATAGTTCTATAATTTAAAATATAAATGATAAAAAATTATTTTTTCCTGTGATGTAAAGCTGAATTTTCAGCATCATTACTCCAATCTTCAGTATCATGTTTCTTCAGACATCATTCTATGCTGATTTGCTGCTCAAGATTTCTTATTATTTTCAATGTTGAAAACAGTTGTAACATTATAAAATGTCTTTACTGTCACTTTTGATCAAATGAATGCATCATTGCTGAATAAAAGTATTAATTTCTTTAAAAACAATCTCACTGAACTTTTGAACAGTAGTTTGAGCAGTAGTTTCTATGCGTTAATAGATTTATATATATCATTAAATATATATATATAACTAATGTATTTTATTAATATTAATTATTATAACAATATATAATTACAAAATATGTATAATTACACTAATAATTACAGCCTTTTGATGGACATAAATTACTAAGGAATGCAGTAACTAACAGCATCATGGTAAAACTTTACAGTGAGGTTATTTCTTAGCATTAGTTAATGCATTTGGAATCATTAATTAATTAACAACAAAATACTTTCACAGCACTGAGTTAATGTTCATTTCCACGACCACTATCTAGAACACCCTCACAACCATCCATAATACTCTGGAATCAATTGTCCAGTGATGTTGTTCTTCATCTAAAGTATTTCCAAGAGAATTCTACATCAGTGTGTAGCAAATTAGCTCAAAAGGGAAAGGTATATAAATAATATACAATTAATTATGATTCATTACAATTGGTTATATCAGCTGCCAGTAGTAACTGTAGCAGAATTAAATCATCATAATCTAATCTGTTCGTCCAGTGAACATTCAGTGTAAGTTCATATCAACTCTAAGAAAGGATATTTTCGTGGCCACAGACGCCGTTTTACAACGGGTTCTACAGCTTATACTAAACCTCGTTTCGTTTAGTTAAATGTACGATACTTGCATTGCCTTGGTCGTTGAACGAGTGTCCGGATGCAGTCTCGGATGAAAGTCTTGATGGTTTCAAGGTTTTGGGCTCAAAAGGGAAAGGTATATAAATAATATACAATTAATTATGATTCATTACAATTGGTTATATCAGCTGCCAGTAGTAACTGTAGCAGAATTAAATCATCATAATCTAATCTGTTCGTCCAGTGAACATTCAGTGTAAGTTCATATCAACTCTAAGAAAGGATATTTTCGTGGCCACAGAAAATGCTTTCATACAGTATTAATGCATTAGAGCATGTAGTAAGGATCAAAATCGTAAAGGGACATTATTCACAAGCGGTGACAGAATCAGAAACTCATGTAATTCGTGCACAAAAGTTTTATTAACTAAACGCTAACACATAACTAGTCTAAACAAACAAACGAATAAACATACACTCACACGCGTACATACAAAGGGGAGCTAAAGTGGATGAATGAAGCCATTAGAGAAACCAGAGAATGCAGTTATGGAAAATGAGTCAGAACCACCTGAGTTAAAAACCATCAGCGCCGTTTTACAACGGGTTCTACAGCTTATACTAAACCTCGTTTCGTTTAGTTAAATGTACGATACTTGCATTGCCTTGGTCGTTGAACGAGTGTGCGGATGCAGTCTCGGATGAAGGTTTTGATGGTTTGAAGGTTTGGTGGTGTTGGAGTTCTTCACGTTCTTCCAGGTTTGAAGGGTGATGAACTCCAATAGATGGTATTCTGGCTCGGTGGTGATTGGGAGAGTTTTCTCCCAGATGAAGGTGATGAGAGAAGAGCGCAGAGCTCGAGAGAGACGACAGCTGGAATCCGAGGATTTTAGGTGAATGAAAACTTTGGGGTCCAGAAGAAAACTTCTAGCTCTAGAATCTAACAGAACTTTAGACTGAGCTGTGTCGAGGCCTGCCAGGCCTCTGGGACTTAGCAACCAGAAGATGTGAAGGTGATGAGAGACGAGTGAAGAGACTAAAAGCCAGGCGGTTCACTAAAGTGAGGCCTTTTAAGTTCTGTGGAGGTCACACCTCTCGAGTGTCAAAGAGCCAATGGTCTAACTGAAATGAGCCAACTTGCACTTTTTGAAGGGAAAGTTTACGACTCTTTGTCTCCGAACATGGTAATTTGCATATGTAACTAGATTGGATGTTGATGCAAAGTCTACTAAAGATTCTTAGAACACTAATATGTTGCATAAGTATCAACATATAATATAAACTCTCAATTATATCATCAGGAGACGAATTCATAGAGACCAAACATGGTATAGGTAAGGTTACATGAATGAGTGGTTCTATAAGCATGCATAAAACAGTATACAATAGTATAAGAATAGTAATAATATACACAATAACCTGAGGATATGTGATAGGAAGGTCAAAGAAAGGTTTGTCTGTGAATGAGAGTCCATTTATATGGCATTGTGCGTCTTTCCTAGGGGGAAATGAATTGAGAGTTGCTCTGCCCGCATTCCTTTGGGCAATAAAACCAGTGTTATCAGCATTGGTTGCCATGGAACCAGAGGCCTGTTCTGCCTTTTTGAGGCGTTAGCCGCATTTCGGGGGGAAGGGTCCATTGAGCCCTCATAGTTGTCTTGTTGATTGAGGGGTGTTACGGAGTATTTGTTAAATATAACAAAAACAAATTGTGTCTGATTGGTCCAGACGCTACAGTTTATGCATAGAGTTAGAGCTGATGTGTTAGGCATACTGTATAAGAAGCACACTTTACATAATCATTTTAAAGCTTATTTCCACCATGAAATATAAAATATAAGAAAGGTAACTGTGAATTTTTATATGTGACTTTATTTCTCTCTCTCAGAATTCGGAATTTACATCTTGCAATTCAGACTTTTTACTCAGAATTCTGAGTTTACCTCTTGCAATGTACTGTTCCCTGGAGAAAACACCCTAGTGATACACCATGCAATTTCACGCTTTCCATTTTACCCCCAGCTGTAGAGACTCACTAAAACAGTAATATTTTATATCAAACATCTGTAGTGTAAGTGGTGTAATCTATAATATCGCTCATTGCAACTAAAATACTTGAACACTTACATCACTTTTTTAATTAACTTTTTTACCGCCTATATGAGAAACGCCAACTACCTACATTTTTGAATAACTCTAATAACTTACTTATGCATACAATTCACTGCAGTTTCCAGCTGAAATGAACACGTGTGGCAGTAAAACTCCAATAACTTTTATTCCTTTACACAAATTATGATTTCTCACAATTCAGACATTTTTTCTCTCTCAGAAAAAAGTAGGCTATGCTTTTTTTTTTTCCCACAGAAAATGACAGATCGTTTTGCTAGAAAAGAGCTTTATTCTTCAGCTGGGTTCATGCAGTCCTTTAAAACAGCACTGAAACTGCAATTTGGAACTTCAACCCGTTGCCTCCCATTGGAGTCCATTATATGGAGAGAAATACTGGAATGTTGTACCTCAAAAGCCTTAATTTCTTTTCAACCGAAGAAAGACATCTTGAATGACATGGGGGTGCGTAAATTATCAGGACATTTTTATTCTGCAGGTGAACTAATCCTTTAATACCAGGTGTAAACAGGGTCTTAAATCAGAGCAGGAAGTCCTACATATATTAATTTCATTAAATGTTACGTGCATAGCAAAAAAAAAAACAAATACGAATAAATAATAATAATGATATCTTCTTCAGTATTTTTGTTTTGCTAAAATTAATATCTAAACATCCTCAAAAAAAGATCTATTTACTTAAAGCAAATGTAAAATGTCTTGAACAAAACTTAGTGAGCTTATGCTTAAAACAATACCACATGTCAGTCAGTAAGGTACAAAAGCTTTTCCCCTTGAAATAGGTTTATTTTTCTGAGCCACTGGCAGATATTTGTTCTTGCTTTAATCAAATTTACATTCATCAAACCTGCAGAAACCTTGGTATAGTATACTGAATAAAAATATTGTCAAGAAACAAAACAAATTTTAGAGTTAAGCAACGCTCAATTAATGTTTCCCGACACTGCTTATAGCATTTTTTTTTTATATGCCAGCATAGGTAACAATCATTTCAGAACTGAGGTACTACTCTGTGACTACGTCTAATGCTGCCTGTGGTCATGTACAATTATGTAATAGCCTCTTTCTCTTTGGGTTTTTGACTGAATGCTTATTCTGGCAAACTCGATTCCATGCTCTGCTGGACAACAGGAGCATATATCTTAAGCATAGCTGATGGCACACCATAAAACAGGCACTTGGATAATATTCCTTATCTGGTTTTATCTGGACTGTACTGGTTTTGTGATGTTAGCGTCTACTGTACTCTATTGGACTGTAGATCTGTATAAATGCCCTGCATCACTGATTCCTCACAAATAGCCTACACACCCAAAAATAAAAGTAATAAGTAAACCAATAGAGAATAAGAACGTTGTCACAGCGCAATGCATTCTAGGATTTTAGGACACGAGAGCTACAGTAGAGACTGGGTGGTAGTGATGTAGACATTTAACATTATTTTATGTTTATACACTGAACAAAATTATAACCTCAACACTTTTGTTTTTGCCCCCATTTTTCATGAGCTGAACTCAAAGATCTAAGACTTTTTCTATGTACACAAAAGGCCTATTTCTCTCAAATATTGTTCACAAATCTGTCTAAATCTGTGTTAGTGAGCACTTCTCCTTTGCCAAGATAATCCATCCACCTCACAGGTGTGGCATATCAAGATGCTGATTAGACAGCATGATTATTGCACAGGTGTGCCTTAGGCTGGCCACAATAAAAGACCACTTTAAAATGTGCAGTTTTATCATACAGCACAATGCCACAGATGTCACAAGTTTTGAGGGAGCGTGCAATTGGTATGCTGACTGCAGGAATGTCCACCAGAGCTGTTGCCCGTGAATTGAATGTTCATTTCTCTACCATAAGCCGTCTCCAAAGGCGTTTCAGAATTTGGCAGTACATCCAACCGGCCTCACAACCGCAGACCACGTGTAACCACACCAGCCCAGGACCTCCACATCCAGCATCTTCACCTCCAAGATCGTCTGAGACCAGCCACCCGGACAGCTGCTGCAACAATCGGTTTGCATAACAAATAGTTGTGTGTCTGATTGGTCCAAATGCTACAAGTGTTTGAAGCTGATGTGGGACACGGTTCTTGAAAAATACTAGTTAAGGTACAACGTACAAATATTTTCAAGAAACTTCACATATCCCAATGCACAGTGCAGCCTGTCTCTAAAGGAAAGTAACACAACTTTGAATGTGAACAGGCTGGCACATCCTTCAAAATCATGTATACAGCCAATGATAACCTTTGCAAGAGAGGCCATCAAGAAGCCTACAGCGACTCTGTAGAAGTTACAGTTCTCCATGACAGAGATGAGAGAAATTGTCTGGCTGGTACTTTAAGATTGAGAAGCTCATGCTATCTTGACTAGCGTTTGCCCGAAGACATGTGAAGACCAGGAAGAGTCTGTTCTTCTCAGACGGCACAATGCTAGACTGTGTTTGGCTCATATCAAAGAGAGCACATCACAGTGAGACATCAGCCTTACGGTGAAGCACAGAGGTGGCAGCACTGTGCATTAGGGATTTGTCCCTGTGGCGGGGAATTGAGACATCATAAAGACAGAAGGAAAACGCTTGGAGATGAGAACAGAAAGAAGACCTTCAGGGCAATGACTTTGAAAAATTACTTAAAATCAAACTGTTTAAAGTCCTTGTCAAAATCCAAACCATGAGCCACCAAGAAGTGTGTCCCAGTCTGCTATATAGTGCTGCAGAGATGATGCTTTTTAGGACAAAACCCAGAAACAAGTTGTATTTTAGCATTTTTGTTTCCATCGTCCTGAAGTCAATGGGCTTTTTGAATGTGTTTTAGCATAAATGTCTGAAATAAGGTCTGTGGTGAACACAAACTCAAGAAATTTCAAGTTTTATTCCACAACATAAAATACATCAGTAGAGCTTTTACTAGTCTTGAAAAAAGGTGGTTGCTAGCAAGTGTCTAAATGGGACTACAGAGGTTGTTGTGGACACACTGAACAGATAAACTCATCAGTAGGCACTTTCACAGCCTCATTGTGTTTATAATCACGCACCTGCAAACTGTTCTTACTCAAACTTTCAGGGGAAATGTTGTTGTCAAAAGCTTAGTGTTTAAGTTATGTGACTGTGGTGTAGTTCATTTACAGCCTACGTTCAGCTTTTTGCAAACATTTTAAACAGGCTTCAAACTTTTGTGGGTCACAGAGCTTATTTTCTGCAATAATTAAAAAGCCAATGGAAAAATCAGAGGGAAAATGTCGAGGGAATCAGGGCGATGCTAATTTAAGGGTTGGCCTACAAAAATACATAATCATACCGCTATATAACTGCTAAAATATCTGTCACATTATAACCGTAGTATTTTGAACGGGATACACCATGGTTCCATTGCGTAACACGATATTATGCAATACAGTCTGAATATTTCTGAGCTACATGGGTTTCAGGTAAAGCGTCTCACCTGTCTGAGATGGGCCAGGTCAGACTTGTTTCCCACCAGCACGACGGGGGTGTCTACGGTGCGCCGCACGCGGTAGATCAGCTGCTTGAAGTGGCGAGCCTCCTGGAAACTGCGGCGGTCCGTGATGGAGTATGAGATGATGAAACCTTCACCCGCTCGCATGTACTGATCACGCATGGCTGTGAACTCCGCCTGGTTTCAAACAAAGAGATCTTCTTTACAAACTCACTATCTTGTTGTATCCTTGTACGTATCATGCAAAATTACGAGATTTATCAGATTTACATGGTCATGGCAAGAGCAGTTAGGGCTGGACGCTAAAACGGTATCTTATCGAAACTGCGATAAAATTTATATGGTTAACAATGATATGCTCCGGACATTTTTACTGGATATGGATTAATCTAACAGTCTATGACACAGCAGAAATAAAGGCAACGATTCAAAGTGCTTTACATAAAAGGAAGTAAAATAATCATAAAAAATAATCACAACAATAAAATAAAGCAATAAGCCCCAAGAAGCCGTGGTTTACAGTGAATTTATAACAGCTAAGCCAATCAGAATCAAGGACCGGAACTAACCGTTTTATAACAAGGAATTAAAAAACTTTTAAAATTATTTAATAATTGATTTAAAATGAATTTAAAGCAGTTAAAAATAGGAAATTATTATATCTAAAATACAGTGCAATCAGTTCGGACGTAGCACAGTGCTCATTCATTCAGTCAGTGTATGTTTCTAATAAGTCTGCATGTTTGGCGTGTCTCTGTGTGAACGAATGGCGCAGTTTCGTCTTATACACAAATAGCCTACATGTGACGCTCACTGATTTCTGCATTTGAATATATGAGGACATGAACACATGAACTTCAGTCTCCAGAGCTGCTCTGAGAGTCTCTTTACTTGGTTACACCGTTTCATTTGAGAAAAAACTACCGTCAAATACACACTGAAACTGAAAGTAAAACTGAAAAACCATCGGGACAACCTGTCAAAATAAAAGTCTGGTTTAACTTTAAGAAATTATTGGAGAAATATACTACTACTGTATATCCTAGTAAAATATAATTCTCAAAGTAATAATAATAATATTTTTGAGGAATATCACACAACCAAGGTATTTTTTCATCAGTTTATACAGTTCTGTTGTGCAGCATCTTGCTTGACAATAAAAATGCAATGTTTTTTTGTAAATTAATTTCATTTGATTACATTTTTAAATAATGATCAAACTGTTAAAGTTTTACTAATTCATTTCATTAGACAACCTTTTTTTTCAAACATGTGGAATTTCCTTTCCCATTAACAGTAGATGAATATCGCAATACATATCGATATTGTATGATATAGAAATATCATGATAATATTTTTGGCCATATTGCCCAGTCCTAAATGGATATAATTTTACACAAACAATGTTATTAAGCAATTTTACCACATTATTCTCTTGTTCAAACACAATTTTACATATAATTCTTGTGGCTATATTTCTGCCTGCATTCCTGTAAACAAGATTTTTGTTTGCTTTAAAAAACCAAGAGATTAGTTTATACTGGTTAGGGCTGCACGAGTATGACAAAAATCATAACTGGCGATTATTCCCTTGAAATTGTAATTGCGATTATTAATTGCGATTATCACAATTTACATTGAATGATGTTTATACCATTGTTTGATGCAACTGCATGCCGTATTTTTATATGAAAATAAACAAGCTGAAAACACTCTAACTGAAAAATTTTTAGTGCTTTTCTATAGTATTAAGCCTCAGATGTCAACTATACATCAGATTGGTTTCTTCTTTAAATTATAAAAAAAAGATATAAAAATATGAATGGTATTATAATGTTATACTAAAACTAAAATTAAAACAATGGAAAAACCCTTAAGATAACATGTAGAAAGAAAAAAATGCATCTTAAGCGTGCAGAATAACAAGTGGACTTTGAACGATTAATTGCCGCTTTGAACTATTACGTAGTTGTGGCATCCATAATTGTAATCGCGATTAGAAATTCGATTAATTGTGCAGCCCTACTCAAAACTTATGTCGTAATCAACATCATACCACAGATGCATTATGAAACATTCCCTGAATGTTTCAACAATGTACCCAAATGAACACTACATTATTATACTGTAGGCCAATTTTCATTAAACTCGTGATGAGATGTATTTTATAACATCGCTGAGTGATCCAATGACGAAAAAGATGCTGATTCAGAGGGAGAAACATTGTGCCTGATGTGTGTTTGTGTCTTGTGAAGTGAAAACCGCAAAGATAGACACAGAAAAAGAGAAGTGAGACACATTTGAGAATGACCTTCTTATAGTCTGCAAGATAAAGTGTTAAGTAGAGCACCACAGTTTACCACAAACAGATTTTTGCACTTCACTGTTTCTTGTTTTGTTTTCCATGTGTCCATCTTTATCACACCACCTGTACCACCTACCTGTCCTGCTGTGTCCAAGATGTCCAGGTTTGCTGGCTCATCGTCTATGCGGATCTGTGTTTTATAGGCATCCTCTAAAAACAGAAAAACACATGAATGGAGGTTGATGAGAGGACACAACAACATTAAACAGCTTAACAGAAAAAAAGCCCTAAAATGGGCAGAGACATCAGTGTTATATTTAGGGCTATATTTAGTAAATACACACACTACCATTCATTATTTTTAAAGGATGCATTAAATTAAAAGACATTCAATTAAAATGTAAAGACTTTCAAAATGTTACAAAAGAAATTCTATTTCAAACAAATGCTGTACTTTTCATCTTTTTATTTATCAAAGAATCTATCAAAAAAATATTCCAGTTTTCATAAAAATATGAAGCAGCACAACTGTTTTCAACATTGATAATAATCACGTTTCTTGAGCAGCAAATCAGCATATTAGAATGATTTCTGAAGGATCATGTGACACTGAAGACTGGAGTAATGATGCTGAAAATTCAGCTTTGATTAATAGGAATAAATTACATTTTAAAATATATTACAATAGAAACCAGTTATTTTAAATTGCAATGATATTTCCCAATAATGTTTTACTGTATTTATGATCAAATAAATGCAGCCTTGGTTAGAATTAGACACTTCTTAAAAAAACCTTAACATATATTACAGACTCCAAACTTTAGAATGGTGTGTGAGACAGACACAACACCTGACAGTCTCAAGAAAAATCAATGAAAATAGATTAAACATGTAAGTACGTAAAGCATGTAAGGACCTGTAAGGATGTAAATAACTCTATTTCTAAATTCCAATTTATTACATAAAGTCAAATTATTAGGTAACATTATTAGATAATATTACCGTATTGGCCCGAATATAGGACGACCCTGATTATAAGACGACCCCCCTTTTTCCAGATGTACCTTTTGGAAAAAGGCTTTTTAAAAACCAAATCTTGTTTTTTCTCAGTAAAACACATTTTGTCTTCAATTATTTTCATTTTCCAAGAAAAAAACATCATCTTATATTCGGGTCAATATGGTATTAAATTAGATAAATTATAAAAAATTTTACATCATAAAAATAAATTAGACATCAACTCAAAGTGTCATTTCTGTGCCACTACCAAAAAAAATTACTGTATTCAAACAAGTTGCACATTAAAGGTGGGGTAAGCGATTTTTCAAAAACGCTTTAGAAAACTGATTTGGGCCGAT